ACACAAAATAGTATTCTCGTATACGTAACAATATAAAATACATGTGTTGTAAACGCAGGTAGCCTAACAGATTGCTATAAGCGTAATCTAACAGTTATAAAAACGAATATAGAAGACGGCAATGTCATTGGACACTATGTTTTGAAGTAATTACCTGAAACAGTTCCTATTAAACTTGTATATTTTTGAATGTGTGTGTTTAAGAAGTGTAACATTAGCAACAAATAATATATCCGTAAAGTGCTATACACCAACGAGTTTGTCATCGACGGATTTTACGCATGCGTACCAGTGATGTGCGCTGTCCTATAAAACATATACAACGTTCAGTCTTCAGCTACGTCAAACTCTATTTGTAACATAATTGACAAAAATATAGATCAATATGTTATATCTTTATATTGTATAAAGTTACAAAGTACCTAATCTTCTCTGTAAAACATTGAGGTATATCCACTGTCTATGATATGCAAATACATTTGTATTTCTCGGACTGCTTCTCCGAGATGCTTCCACAGTGGTGTGAAGTCCTTATTGTCTCGACGCTTTCATAAAATGTTACAAGTCTTCGAATGTTGAGAATACGAACTGTTATGCTCACTCAAATAGCTTGCCGGAATCACAAACATTTCGTTATTCCCAGTACTGCGCATGTTCCCGTCCATGGCGCGAGTCAATGACGTCACTCTTGACGCAATCATTTCCTGCTGTTCATTTGAATAATCTCCTGTGTTCAGCGGGCACTGTACATTGTTATCTGCATACAAGTCATCATTGGTGTTGTTTGGTTCGTGTAGTCTTCCTGATGCCACACGTTTCATACCCGTGACAGCGCCACCAGCCGAGTCACGTGACAAACTGTCTTCTGATCCCATGGTCGATGGCGGAAGTTTCAGATATGCAAATGAGTCTGACAACGTATTGACGCTGCTGGTTGCAGAGATTTGATCTTCTCCTGGAGGTATTATCCTGTCGTCACCTTTAAAACAAATAATATTTCAATCAATGCATTAAAAAAACGAACCCGGGGTGAAATATTTCAACCGATTGTCTCTGTCGCTGTTTTAAGCGGGAGATCGTCACCTGCGCACGCGCGGGAATTGAGTCCAAAGCGTTGATAACAACACATGCTAAAACGGATAGGCGTATGGGTAGACGCTTGTTTCGACTCTCCCGCTTTAAACAAATACATTTTTTTGACAAAGACGTGAGTGAACAATCGACATTTTCAAGTACTTCAAGAAGGTGAGCGCCCTCAATTCTTTGCAAACATGTTGCACTCTCGTCAACATCGCGGATGAACATAGTGATTACTTCGATGCGACATTGCCCACTTGTTAGCAGATTTGAACACATTATCCACAGTCGCTTGTAACATGAAGTCAAAAATATGCCGAATCTTGATGTTAGCCCGCCAGTGGCTCGGCAACATCATATATATACTATTATTATTATTATTATTATTATTATTATTATTATTATTATTATTATTATTATTATTATTATTATAAAAATACAAAACTGCAATAATATAAACCAATTCCATGCGAAATCGACGAATAAATGAAGTCACACAAAACACGCAACTTCCAAATGATTGGTTGAAGCTACTGGGTCAAAGCAGGTCAAGTGTTTTCTATTAAGCGTTTTGCTGATTGCAAATCAATCACGTGTCTTGCTGTTTGCCAACCAATCACGCGTCTTGCTGGTTGTCAACCAATCACGCGTTTTGTGGATTGCCAACCAATCACGCGTCTTGCTGTTTGCCAATCAATCACGCGTCTTGTGGATTGCCAACCAATCACGCGTTTTGCTGTTTGCCAATCAATCACGTCTTGTGGATTGCCAACCAGTCACGCGTCTTGTTGATTGCCAACCAATCACGCGTCTTGTGTCATCTCACATGTATATGAAACTTGATTCAAGTCTTACTGCGTGAACTGTTTGTATTATTTGTCGTACTCTTTTTTATCAAGTTTGTTTGTAATACCTATAGCTATAACAGAACGACGATCCCGTGTTTTGAATTGTTGATTTAGACTAAGTCTAAATCAACAATTATGGGTGATCTACTGTAAAACATGTTGAAAAAGCGACATGCAATTTTAGCGAAATGTGGTAAAATGACGTAGTAGCGAAATGTTGGTTTAGCGAATCTCTCTTGTCATTGTTGATTTCCTGTTTTCACGATACTTGTCTGTCGCGCGCCAAAACAAATGCGCAGTTATTACCTCCATAAAATTAAATAAGAAAAACTGTGTAATTTTATGATTCAAATTACTGTATACAAATCCCCAAGCCTTGGCCATTTTGAATTTATAATAAAGTCATTAGCGACATCTTTAATTAGCGAATCAGTTCTCTCGCTAAAAAGACATGCTCGCGAAAAAGACATGTTTTACAGTAATTTCAAAAAATAATTATTGAAAACAAAATTGTCCATTTTCAGCAATATACCAACCAGTCTCACCTGTAGGTGGTTCAGCGTCAACTTTATTACTATTTAAGAAGTAGGTCACCATTCTACCTTTTCCTTTAACTTCAATTTCACCTCGAATTTCGATTACGTAATCACCGCCTTCCAGACATCTGAAATCAACAGCTCAAAATTATACGAGTATCAATGGAAAAACTAAACGAAAATAAAATAGTTATTATAATAGGTGCCCAGACATGTAACTTCTGTCGTCGATGGGGTTAGAATGTGTTGCTAAAATGGTTTGTATTTAGGGCATTATTTGGATATCAATATTATTTTACAGACATGCTACGTGCTTGCCTACTTGTGCAATTCGCAGGTTATTTGTGAGATTGGAAGTGTTAAAAAACAGTGTTTTCAATAGTCAGAATAGTAAAAAAAATACAATAATATTATCCCTGAGTGGTCCCAACAATAAGGGAGATAATATAATTTTTGATTGGCCCAGCAGGAAGATAATTATCCCCCGAGTTGTTCCAATAACAGAGATAGTAATACATAATATATTATATAGTAATTTTCGTAATTTTGGGTTAAATTGTGCTATTTTGATTATTATTGCATTTTCTGTTAGCGAAGTAAAATATACATGGTCATAATAATTGCATGTTGCTAGGAAACACTGTTAATAGCATAATTGGCCTCCAGGTAATCTCCTAGACTATCACTGGTACGGCATATGTACTACCGTAATCCTCTATATCTAAGCTTTCAAAAGATGTATAGGTTGTTATAGTAGCAGGCTTTTATAGAATGTCCGAATCATTTTTCACTATATTGCTTTATCCTTGTCGCAATCTTGATACGTTTGTACTCACAGTTTTGTTTCGTGACTGATATGTATTCTCCCTGGCACGCCATGACTTTCCATCCTGGAGGCTACATTGACTGTATCGCCAAATAAGGAATACCTAGGGACTTTCTCGCCAACGACTCCTGTGACAACGGGTCCTGAATGGATTCCTACGCGAATCTACGTGAAAGATGTTGCAAATTTCAAATTAAGTAATATAGTTGTTATTTACAAATCGACTTCTATGTATAATCTAGCTCACGTAAAATGTATACTATTAATGGTTTGCTGGAATAAATTGCGTAATTCCGATCTATACTCACCATAATAAAATTACATAAAGTATACAAAGTTTACAAAATTAAATTCCGTTTCTGCTCATCTGGAATATTTGGGATGTGTTTTCGAAATAATGATATAAAATGAAAACTCACTTTGATAGAATTCCCATCAGCGGGCGATTTTACTTGAATGGACGCTTTGATTATCCCGAGTGCAAAATTGGCAACTCCCTGGGCGTGAGCTGACTTCGATACATGTAAGCCCCCAACCACCATATAGGCGTCTCCAATCGTCTCAACCTGATAGTAAATTGAATGTAATGAGGATTTTATGAATACGATTACCAAAATAATTTCCCCATCTTTCATTTCTTGACTCTGTCGTACCTTGGTCCACTGGTATTTGTTTTACTCTTTGGACACTTCGAGGCCCGGTATGTATACCACGATGCCACTCAGACGCCATGATTGTGACGCATTCGAGTTTTGCTATGACAAGCATTATTAAAGTTTAGTCATTCAATAATGCAATGAAGCATTGTGTAATTTTGTGGCAATGCAGGAGCCGACAAAGTAATAATGCGTGTCGATGCGCAATAACACGTTGGTGAAGGAAAAGAGATAGCAAATACAAATCATATACTGGAAGCGGCAACAACGACTAGACACGAAATGGGAATCCAGCGCTTAGGTATGGAGATGTAGACTGCTTGACGAATACATACAATTGTTTACGTAACCTCTGAGAGCAACAACCCAACTCAATGATGAAACTCAAAAATAAGCGGAATTATGTGACCCGATACTGACCTTGTAAACCTCGTACACACTGGTGAGCCTGTCAAATCGTGAATACATGTCATTTAGGAGGTGTATGACCTCAATTGGCTTGCAGTGGGAGCAGATGTTCGTGAACTTCACAATATCTGAAAACAGCACCGTTACTTTGTCGAAATATCCTTCAGAAAATAAAAGGTGGGAATACTAATAAAATAAGTTTATATCGCTCTCTAACGGTCAATTATTATGCAATCTACTGAAGGTACACGTGCCTTTTGTGCGTTTGTTCTGACAACTGGCTTCTACAAAGACATGTCAATTGCTGGGAATAAAACAAATTCACCAACCAAATCATTTAATACATGTCACGTACCAATCTAACATTGATGCAAAAAAATCAAATTTCAAATTGGTTTGTTTTAGTTTGACCACAATTATTATGTAAACAAGATGTAAGCAGAATTGTTTAGTAATCGCACGAGTTAGAGCGTATTTCTGATCGTCGACGCCACAGTTGTGGTCAGCAACCTTGTAATGCATTGCAACTACAGAATTATAATACCACGACAAAAACGGAAGATTAAGCAAGCCATTAATGTACAGCGACACATTAAACGTCTATTGCCTGTCAGTTGCCTTGAATAATTCAATGCACACCACGTGATATTGAAATAATCATTCTAATGCATGTTTTTGCCGTAACACGTTATTGAAATCTGTATTAGCATTGTTACTATTGTTTATAATGTCACTTCGAATCCCATTCTTGTCCAACTTTGTCATCAGTGAACCCCTTAACTGTAGATGTTGCACCTTGACTGAAGCTGCAGAGTTGGGTCAACGTATGAGGTTTGAATTACAGGTTAAATACAGTTTCGAAGTGTTCCTCACCTGCGTCTACTTTCTTGCCTTCACGCAGTTGTTCAGCTGCCTGTCTAGGCATCATTGAATACAGCAGCATATCGGTTTTCTTTTTTTCTTCCTCAAGTTGTTTCAGCGTGAGACGTAATTCTTCTTCTTTCTGTTCTAGTTGTTTGGCAAGTTGTAATTCAAGCAGCCTCTTAAAAACAAAAGTTGCTCCCGAATAATGAAACGAATCATATATTGAAAGCAGTACTAATATTACTAGTATTTGAAATGAAATGATGGAAGAGTACAAGTTATTTCCATACAATAAACTAACCTGTTGATTGGCTAGAACTAGATCTCGCGTTAGGTCATGCACAGCGAGATCTGCGAAATGTAAACCGCATTGTTTCATTTCTTCCAATGTATGAACAAACGGTGTACATAGAAAAACAAGACAAAGTAGGTCTTCCATCCACATCATCTGACCTGGAATCCAAACAGAAATAGCGTATTATCAGTATTATGTCATCTGCTCCACGACCCACCTTGCTGAAATGATGATTACATTTTACCTTCGAATTGTCTATGATGGGGTCTGGGTTTAGACGTTTGGGCCACAAACCTCTACTAAAACAGTAACTGGGTTATCCCTAGTATAAACGCGAACGAGGCTGTGAGTTGATGACGTAATCTGACAAATGAAGCGTCCCAGACCCCGCAAATAGTCTAGTGGTGGTGTAATACCTGTATTGAAATGCAAATGAGTGTCACGTACCTCTGAGTATTAGGCGTGACTTGTCGGTGTAGTATTCCTTAACTCGCTCCTTTTTTATCGCCATTACAAACTCTATGTTGATGAATTGTCTGATGTCCTGTGACGTCATAGGTATGTTTGGGTGCATTATCTCTAAAAAGTCACTGACTGTATTTTCGTTCAAGGTCAAATTCTGACAAACTCGTTGGATCATGACACCGCATTGTTTGAACACGAGAGATTCGTCGAATACAAAGTGAAAAGGAAAGGCTCTGCAGAAGGATTCCTCGTCCATCCACAGCCTATCTGGAGCCTGGAAAAAGTTACGTAGATCCCATGTGGAAAACGGACGAGGTATATCGCCCCCTACGACAAACTTTCTCACAGGGCTTGCAATCGTTTTCTGTGGGGAGTAAAATATACAATATAAAACTTAAATTACATTGTAATTATTAATACTAACACAATATTATTAACTTTATTTTGTGCAACCCAATAACAAAACAAACAATAACGCTATGCCAAAACCCCATGTTCACTGACCAGAACATGTCTAACCACTTCATCCAAAATTTTCGTCATGATAGTGCGCGCAAGAGCTATGAGTTCAATGACCTACTAAATTATGCTCAGCGACTCATTAACACGTGGTCACGCGCTCTTGTTCACTGCATTTGCTCCATCGCGATGAAAATACCAACTGAGAAACAGAACACAACTCTGGCATTTTTTCCAATAAAAAAATATAAAAGTTATAATCCACAGAAATTGTATATCGCGAACTCATAAACTGACAATTCTATAATTAATTTGATGCAATTCTCATATTCATTCAGTATATAGAACGCAATAAACTTTACAATTATATATACAATTATACTCACCGTCTTACGCTTGGTACTGATAGCAAAATCACCAACAGAACGTATAATGAATGTTGTGTGAGTTTCCCTGCCGAGTGGGGGCGTTTCCTGCTCAGAGTATACAACCACCGTTACTTCTATATCGAAGAATTTCTTGGCTATTGATTTAACAATCCCTATATTCAATATAAAAGCGAATGAAATTAATTTGCACATTATCACTAAAACATAGTTTTTATGTCGATGTTTCACGTCGATAAAAGAGAATTTATGCATGTCATGACTTGTTTCTTTGTTACAGTATCCTGCAATGTAATGGAGTATTGACGTCATCACACAGTTACGCCCCTAGTAACCAGAAATCTTACACTCGTCCCTGTATACTTACACACTGGGTTATTATTTATATTAATCAATGTTTAAGTCGCAATATATTGTTTATGAAATAACGACCTACATTTTATTGTACGTACCATTAAATCAAAACGCTTGCGCATTTGCATAATTCACCACGTCTGTGTACTATATAGTCATATTCCAATGTGTATGTCAAATCAAAGACACTAGAAAGTGTCTTTGGTCAAATACACAACTGAAAATTACTCAGGTTATTGTTGAATGTATATAATGTATCGATTATTAAACACAATGGTAAGGTATTACAGATTTCTAGACACACACAAGTATTATTTATAGACGTTGTTCGCTGTAAATTGAGCAGTGCATGCATTATATCCACTTGAGAAAAGGAATGATTATCGTCGTCGTAAAAAGTAGTTTACGATGAGCAAATAAAACGCTAGATTGATAGAAAATGATAAGTAGTGCTTACCGACAACGATGGGCTCCAGACCTTTCCTGTTTGAATAATAATGCAACAGTAGACTTCCATCATCTAACTCACTACACCGAAATGAGGGCGCACTCATCTCTGTGAATGTCGATTTCAAGTGTACGAAGTGAAGAAAGTCCAAACTTTCCAAGAACGACTTCAAATCGTTCCCGAGTACAGAGAGAAGCTTTTCATAGCCTAGACGTAGAACGTAAATTACGAAGAACTCGCCAAGCATCTCTAGAACTACGGGAATATCGAGACCTGGCAAGAAACGTTACGAAAAAATGTGAATAAGATGTATTCATGAAAGTATACTTATTTCCCATAGGAAAGAATTCAGTGAAGAATTCCTCAAATATGAGAAATGGACCAATGAATACGTTAGCGACAACAACGTGTTCGGGTGGGTCGGTTCGATAAACAAGATATAAAATCAAATGATAAAAATACAATAATAGTGTTCCAGCTTTTATCGTTGTAATGTTAAATAAAAAAAGTCGAAATAGTTCCCTTTTATTTATTATGACAATATGATATATATTAAAAATGATGTGAGGTGATTTGTGATCTAAATTCAAATATGTACATTCATAAAGAACAAATCGAATATTAACAACATAAAACACGACTACAATAATTCACTCATTGATCGAAAGTTTAGAAAAAATGCATATGAAACACATAAAAAATAGTGACATAGACAACATACTATCTATACCTGGTCAGTATTATTATGGGTGTTGGGAGATTTCAATAAGTTTTAAAATGCGGTCGAAGAATAAACTCGAACTAAATCGATTAGACGTCAGACCACAGCTAGTAAATCTGATATTGCTTGAAAACATTGTATATTGATGAAAAGCGAGATCTTATCCTACGATCGATGATTTCTCAAAGGGACAGAATTGTGTTACAACTCATCCATTATGCAGTGAAGTAAGTTGCACCTCCTAGCAACAAGGTGATTCTGTGACGTAAATGGTTGAACGGAAGGCCGTTCACATCGTCATTATTGAGTTTATTTGTAGTCGTCCGTCGGTTATTGAGAGATATGATAAATGATGAACTACTACACAACCAGATGAGGTAGTGAACAACATCTCTTAGTTGATGTTAACACAGGAAGTAACGCACAGAAATAACACAATATACTGAACGACATATCTTTCATCAAACTCATGACGTCACGTGATTACGTTTTGTCACTAGAAGGCGCGAATTATATGAAAGTTGTGCATAGGAGATGTGAGCACTGAAGGAAATACAAAGTCCATCGGTATAAATTGTGCGCAAAGTTTAAAAGCGCTATCAATATACTAATTCAAGTGACGTCAATGACACCACTTTAACACAGATTAAAACAAAAACATCTTAAAGGGCGGTGCTCGTCGCGCCGCGTCCTGTTCGATATGGGACTCATAGCGACGTATACAACGCGTGTAAAATACATTGTTTATTTTCGAACACGCGCTGCGCGACGACCACCGCGCTTTAATCAACTAAAACATCACTTAAATAAGTCTTGTGTAAGATACAAATCCCTCGGTTTTAACGCATGATGGCTTTAACAGAAAACGTATATCCCGATGTCTATCTTTTCTAAATTCAAATATCAAAGCAAACCTTGATAAATATTCAAGTATTTCTTCCGCAGGATATGCTTGTGTTCTAATAAAATTTATAATATTGCTGCTCGGCTTGCTGTTCTGTTATTTGATATATCAATACCCGTTGTCTCTATGACAAATGCGACACTTACCTAAAATTATCGAAACGGCTTGCAGTATTCTAAATGACACAGTGTCTTTGTAATTTTGGTGCGTCAAAAACGCGATGTCATCAATGTCCGCCTTGGCTCTGAGAAAACAAACCACAAAAAGAAAACACATTATCGTCGATCAATAACTAGAATTTCTGTGAAACAACGCCGACATAAATACGATAGATAATCCAAAGCTTTGTTTTGATACACTGCGTAACTGCTAAAGCGCTGGTTAATCCGTACGATTGTATTGCTCTATTCTTATGTCGTCGTTATTCAGACATCATTTTTTTACTCGATACATACATATTGTGTATTGCTCTCAATAATGTTGTATTCAGATGTCAGATTTATAAATACCGATGATTTTCTTTCTGCGTAGCTTCAAACAAGACAAGCTGATTCTGATAATTTTGTATACAACTATGTAAAAACGAAATTTTTCACAGTTTTTTAACTAAATTCCCGGGGGAGTGGGATGAGGTCCTCCACCTGAAAACTGCACGTGACGACGAAATTGGGAAACTTTCACCGACGGACAGTTATTTGTTACGTCTTTTACTGGTTTGCTAATGTCCATGTCCATGTATCGAAATGTACATGTCAGAAGAGTCAAATGGAACGTACTCGTGTATGTATTCCTAAAACCAGAACACTCGACAGGGTGAATAGAGGATGTGTTTTGCGATACAAAATATTGATTATTGTCGATTCTGGATATCAGCAGTTGATCATGAACTGAATACAATGTGTTGCAAAATCGACATCATAGTTTACGACAAATCATCTCGGTTGTTACGAGTTCGATCGGCAGACCTCGCAAATCTACTTCAGGTTACCTCCACCCTGTCTACTTATTGCCATAATCATCATTTAAAAAACGCGGAAGTGTTCAATAATTCGACGAATTTCACTGACACCGCTAGCTAGCAGGAACAACAATCTGTGGAGTGAACTTCGTAATCTAGAAATGAAATACGTTTATCTAAAATAGAAACATGACAAATCTGGTCATATCACTGATGAAGTATAACATGTCACACTGTGCCGAACTCGTGGCCATGATATTCATCTCACATATACTGAGACGCCGTCTATACATCAATGATTAAGATTATATCGCCCAGATAATCATTGTACATGATTGAAATCCACTATGTTTCCATCTAACGTGCAGGTTTTTACTTTATAGTTAAGTTATGTACGTGAATTGATTGGCCGCAAAATGTTACACTGACTGGCAGTGAAGGCGGGATAGTTAAAATTTTACGTACTGTGTTCTTGTCTGCAAAATACTGATTTGTAAACTGATCATTTATAAAACTCAATTACAGTACACAAAAAACTCTAGTGCGATTACAAGAAAATCGGGAATAAATCTCATTGCACGAACAAGCTTATACGATATCACGTTATCCATGTTAATAGTGTTTGTAAAGTTATACATTTGTCACCGTAACGCCACAAGTAATAGCGTGCCGTAATTCTGCGGTTAATTTTACGGGGTATTTTCATCCTACCATATAAGGAAATGCGAATTTCAAATATTGAATGAACTTTTTGAATTTCGACATTCCCATGAAAGTATAATATGTATAATAACAGAGGTACATTACTTGGGGTTTGCAACGGCCGTAGTACTGTATGGTGACATTATGTCAAGATCCCATTCAAGTCTCATCTTGTAGATAGCGACTGATGCGACGACCTTCTGACATGACATAGGCGGTTTGTAATAATCAATAAAACATGTATTACCACATTCATAGTGAAAAAATGCAATACATCGAAAATGTACAGAAAATATAGTTATCGTATTCCGTCATATCGTGAGCAGCTATTTTGATCCACCTGGACATCCCAGTATCCTAGTGACCTCGGGCATGCGCATTCGCATTTTTCTGAGTTGGAACGCTTATGCGAGAGCGAGATTGTAACGGGATCTTGGTATCATGTCACCGTAGTTGCGAGCCCCAAGTAATGTACCTCTGATAATAATAAGGTTATTACGAGAATACCTCAAATTACGCGCGCGTCGGCCGATACACCAGTTGTACTGTCTTCGTGCATACTTTGCAGTATTCTCGTAATAACCTCACATTACGTCGAAACAATATGTGAACAGAGAAGATTGTATCTAATGAGAATAATGGTTTGTGATTCTTATTTTGGGATGGGCCTTGCCGTGTTTAATTTAAAAACATTGTAACATTTTGTGAAGATTGAAACGGTTATTGGCGGGGACATCGACAAAATCATCGTAAGCAGGATCATCGTCGTCATGACGAAATATGCCTCATGTACTTGTTTCTGATTCATGATGAATATATGTGAAGACATGTTTTTATTCCTTGAATGAGCACTGGTCATTTGTGAAAATTGTCATTGGCACATCGTTTTGCCCATCAATGTATGCATACATAGTTGTATGCATACCGAACGCATATTGGCACCCGCTGTTGTTGTCGACGATGTGTATACTCGTGTAAGTGACCTACATTCAATATCCTGCCATTAACATTCTATCGTTTGTATCAAACAACTTGTAAGTTAATAAACAGGGGAATATTACACACACAAAAACGCTTAGTTCATGGATTTCAAAAAACGTGGAGCTGGGCAAGGGGTAGTAAATTGGATACATCCATCTCACTGAAAGACACTTCATACAGCGAATCTAATGACGATTCTGAACGAGCCCCAGGACACATCGCGCCAACACAGCAGGTACATGGCAAATGCATTCATGTCACTTAAATCTTACAATAAACACCAACTATAAAATATAAATAAATAAGTAATACGTACATTAAAACGTCCATGCATTTGAGTAACATAAATTTCATAAAACTCGTCATTGTCGTATCTATGTATGTCATATATGTTAAATAGCATCATCATATAAAAGGAATTCAACTTTGTTAAATTAAAATTCGAACTTGAAAGGAAGTTTAATTTACATGCAAATTAACTATCGGGTTGTAATGTTTCATCCATGTTTTGCAAGCAGATTCACAAATTAAATTTATTTATACTCATTCCAGTAGACTATTATCAGGAGATTTTTTGTACGAGCATGGTCCGAGTAAGTCACCACATCACACCACGCCATTTTTATTCATCCTCGTCCGACTTGTGTTATCAATAATATATTTATCACACTAGAACTAACCAAATGAATGTAACAAGGTTTCCAGTGTGGGTATTCATGTTGGGGCATGTATCGTGACGTCACGTATTCACCAGTAGTCATTAAATCAATACGAAGGTTAATCATAATATCATATTTAACATATATTGACTTTGTGTGTTTTCGCATTTCACTTGCGTTGTGTTGTGCTGTAAATACATGGTAAATAAAAGATTAATAGTCTACACATGAATAGTCAAATATCAATGTACCGGCTTAAACCGGTTGCATATAATAACATAAAATGTATATTGTTTAACGTGAAAATAGAATACTAGTATTATTGACTTCATACCCTATAGCACAAACCATAACGCGTACAGTTTGTTTCAGTTGCAATTTCGAAAGAGTTATGATTATTTTCTTCTTTGATTGTATATTTAATGAAGTCTTCGATTTATCTACTTGGTGCGTGTGTTTTACATATAAATTGCCGTTCTTGGTGCCACCAATATTAAGTTAATACATTTGCATTACTTGGGGTCCATTAGTAAAAACACAATAGTGTCTAACTGTCAGTGCATTATCTAGTGTGTACTTTATACATTATTAACAGACTTTGTATCATTTTAATATACTAAATCTGAACGCTGCCTCCTTCATCAGCATATATCAAAAATGCTTTAAATAGCAGAGCGCTTTCCTTGAATTGCTTTTATATTATGAAATAAAGATTTTTGCAATATTTTTTAGCGACATGTTAGTTAGTCTTTATTTATTAGAAACTTACATTTTCAACACTGCCACAGATTTACCTTCAGCGAGACATTACGCGCGGGCTCAAACAATCTGAACTGCATCGTTCAATGCTGCGAATCAGACATCATCATCGCTATGGTCGGTTCAAGGATTCAGCTTTACGTATCATTGATACAGTAAATGTGTGCGTGTAAGATGTTCTAAAACCACGACAATGTGAATTTATTAAACATTCACACGAGTATTCAGCATTATCTGGTTCATTTAATTAAACAGTTAACAAAAATCTAATTCAGGGAAATCCTTCCTTTATATATTATTGACCTTGAACGCAAAATGTGTCTGACAGTTAAATTTTCATTTACATACAATATGTATTTTTTCTTCGACGTGATTTTGCTGATATTTGTTAGAATGAGTTGCACTTAATACAGTAGTTTACGAATAGGTAGATTACGGACGGCGAATTTAAATATATATAGCATAAATATATATATAGCATAAATATATATAGCATAAATATATATAGCATAAATATATATATAACTCACACTTGTTGTATGCAAGTAAAAATAGTATAGTCACTTATATTATACTAGTAATTGGGAAAATGAAGAAATACAAATTTAGGAAGATATAAGCAAATAAATAATAATGTAATAGTTATTATTATTAACTGCAACTGAGAAGTATATGAAGATCTGTCTTCTCGTGTTACAATAATTGTCACAGACGGGAGACTAACCTGTGTATGCCCTGAATGTTACAATTATGTTAATGAACAAAAATGCACTATATCATCACCGATATGTGAAGTACGTTTGTCAAGCAGTTCAATCAGAAACTAGCTTATTGATGAGGTATGCTATTCACACGGATAGACGATCAGTCTGCGTGTTGACAGTTTACGTATTCACACCACGCAAAGCGTGTCCAATTCGACGGCTAATCGATCTACACTAATTGTAGCACATTGTTAATAGATATGTAATATGTATCCATATTTGCATACTAATCGCATTGTTATAAGTTAAGTAATCTATAGTCACATCGCAGATATCCATATTTGCATACTTTGCAAATACATACTTTACTTTTTCATAATTAAATAACTTCACCCTCATTTTTGCCTCTCCATTCATGCAATTACATTTTTAGCTACATATTAGGCAACTGGTTAGTTTCTTTAAAAATAATTAAAAAATACTGTTTATTTACGTGTCATGATTTTCTCATACCTGTCGGTGTATGTGAACTACATTGTTATGTTTTCCATCCTAATATATGCTATGACTACTGATCCATTGGGTCACAGTTGTGTGTTTAGCAGTAATTGAACAGGATTGACAACGTGTTACCAGTGTCACGTATCTCCCAACTGGGACGGTTCGTTCAGTTCATATCAATCAATTACGTTTTTGTAAAGCATGACATTACACACACTGGGTGTTATCAGTGGCGGCGATCGTCCGTTTTATGGCGCTTTAACTGTCTAACATACACTTGTTTATAGCATACAAGATACAAGATATTGTATTTGGAACGTACACAATACAGAGCTTGAGTAAAGTCCAAAAAACAAAACAAAAAGAAATAACAATACAAAACAACTAACTAAATAACTAAACTAAAATAATTTCATAATCTGAAAAACAAAATTAGCTAAGTTAGTATAGATAAATTTATCATTACTAGAGAAAACAAATCATTCTTACATAAATTTTGTAGATTGGGTGCATAAATATACAATGATTTAAGAAATTTATCCCTGTGCCCATTAATATCATTATGCATCATATAATGTATTTAATTCCCCAAGTCGTCGTTGTTACATAAATTACATACTCTATTATCTCTATCAGTACCCTGGTAACGGCCTGTCTCAATAGGTAGAAAGTGTGCTGAAATACGGTATTTAGTTAAAGCTATTCTATGTTTCTTGTTTTTAATTTCATCCAAATAGTTATCTAACTTATAATTACTTTTAAATGTGTTGTAAGTGCTTAACTTATTATGGCCAATTTTCTGTAAATCAATTCCCCAATATTTAATGTAAATAAGCTTCATCTTCTCTTTGAACAAGTCACAGAAATTTGCTTGACTGATATCTACATTATCCATTTGAGTAATTCTCAACAGCTTTTGTACAAAGGTAAACCATTGGTCATGGGTGTAAGCACTGCTTTCATTGAATGCTGCATTAATGATTGCATTGTTTGTTTTTACATGACATTCTTTGATATGATTTCATGACTGTCGTACAAATTTCTACCATAACTGGGTACCGTCCCAACTCCCCTCTACAGGCATTATTTGATGCCTTCTTATGAACCCTAAGTACTCTTTTGCAGAACTTAACATGAACTTTTTCAGTTACCAATTTGTCTGAGAATAATTTTGAAATGAAATTGTCATCATCAATCTCAGACTTGTTAGTTCTTGATCCTTTAAAAGCATTTGTCAAGAACCCACCCCAAACATCCACACCATAAAGTATAATTGGTTTAACTATAACAGTTTACTTGCAAGTGCTTCCGTTACCACCAGCCCCACGTCTGTGGTGCCTTCGTTTAATACTGTAAAACCTATTCCACTAACGTCATTGACACCAGTCTCACAGTTGTCATGCCATTTCACCAATCCACGGTTACTCTTTTTTAGTAACCGTGACCAATCCCACATGTGTAGTGCCATCCATTCAATAATTTGTTGTACAATCTGATTCACTTTGTTTATACCATCAGCCACGCAATCTGTCATCTATTCCATATTCTGTTGCATAGCATATTTTACTTTAGTCATAATCATAGTAGCAACACCTGTAGTGTCAATCACTCAATCTGTATATATTTCCCTAGTTGTCATGGCCCATTTTCGTCAGTGTACAAACTGGTCTGCTTTATTTACCATCTGTAGCGCCATCCATTCCATACTTTGCTGTAAAACGCCAACGTTAAACAATGCCATCTTTCCTAATTGACTGCCATACTCTGAGCTACTTATAGTGACGTACAACGTAGTATTTTGAAGTTACGTAATCAACAGTTTTGTGTAGAGGCTCTGTTTGGCTTGAATAACGACGTACAGGTGGTACCATACATGATTGCGCCATAAATTTCAACTTATCCCATAATACTTGTTTATTGTTTTAATGGCCATGATTAATTAACATATTTTACACGCAAAGTGAAAATAAATAAAAAAAAATTCGAGAGATACAAAAATGCGTTTTGAAGCATGTCATTCACCTCCTACCACGTGTGCTATACACGTACTGATGTAATACGATGCCAATAATGAATATCTGTCTGATCATCTCATTTGCATTGAAATTATATTGACTTGAAATAAACAGATCAGTGTACGAATTACGCATGTATGTATGTTAATCCCACTGTTTATTTAGCCTGGATTTAAAGCAGTTGACAACAGTCTTGTTTTACGAGTTCTCATTGTATACTGTAAAATACTTTATTTTAGCTGGAATGTATTTTCACTGACTTTGATGAGTTGAATGTGAAATATGGGGAAAAGAGTATATTCACTGGATTTTATGTTCACTGAATCACACCTTCAGCAAAAATAGGGAAAATAAATTTCAAGCGGAAATAAAATATTTTACAGTATTTAAAATAAACATTTCCCATGCATCATTAAAAAAGTGATTTCGAAAATAATATTAACATGTACGTTTATATTTTCACGTAATTATTTCCACTGTATGTGTAGAGTGAGGTATTCGGAGAATATCTTGAATATTGGTCGCGTTTTTAGGCATGTTGGTATATATGACCCGTGGCTTTTGATGATGTGTCTTATACTTCTTTTCACGCTTACTAACTTGACGGCTTAATTAACTTGATGGTTGCTTGTCGATGTGAACGTAATTACAGATCATCATTGTTGCGATCAGTACGCGACAATTAATGTTGACAGATTAGTTGGGAATAAACACTAAGATATAGTGCATATATAGTATACGGATCATTTACATGTGTGGCGTTATAGTGATTTAGATGGAACTTTTATAAGTAATAAATTAACATATTTGTATCCATGTCCAACATAGCTCTCTGTTGGATGTATAAACCTGCCATTTCACACGTATCTCCAATCTTCTTGTAACAGGACATGTGTCGTTTCTAGATCTGGCTGACGGAGAGTAAGCCTATCGATCGGCAAGCACACTCGACATACCACCATAACGCATTACGGTCGCGCAAGACACTTTTCAAGTTATATATTGCGTGAGACTCAGTTTAAAGACGATCCACCTCAAATGACTTAATGATGAGGTGGTTTGGAATTCATTGAAACTGTTTGGGCATATAACTTGCCACCCGCTGTACTGACGAATCGTTTAGTGCTGTCCCTGCCCGGTATACAGGCAATGTATCATCTTATCGGCCAGCTTTTGAGGTACTTGACACATAGACCTTAAAAATACATATGTTTAATGTCTGTGGTCGACATGAGCTTGTACATGTTTCAAGACCATTGTGATTTCAATTGATAGAAATCTACGGCGACCGCTCGTAAATTTACCACTGTAGGGCAATAAGAACCGGAATTTCAGAATGTTCTGAATCAAATGTTATTTAAATCGTCTGTGCATGTTAGAGTACCCAATCCTACGTCATAAAAAATAATCACATTGAGTCTTTCAGACTTATGTCACGGAGAATTGAATATTTTGGATTTAGGAGCGTGTCATTATTACCTCAATGTGTGTTACATATATGCAACAATACACGACTCAATTATTGCTATTAATCTGCACTAACAAGGTTTGAAAATCTGGCAGGAGAGGAAATCGACGAAATAATGTTGTTAGACCAAAAAAATATACCCACCCCGCATATATAATGGTTCATCCCTTTACATATGTTCTTCGGAGATTATAGGAGAAATGTAATCAAGAAATCAAGGCGAATAATTGCATCGTGCATATCTAAGCCGTGTATGAGGTTTTTGTTATCAAAGCTGAAGCTGTGATTGAATTTTCTTATTTCCGAGTCGTTTATAATCAGTTATCTGTGTGGAGACTTGACTCGGGGTTGATAACCTGTGGTGCTAGTACACCGCTATTGAACATGTAATTGATTGTAAAAATTACCAATTCACCAAAATTGTCGTAATAACTTTAAATTACACATTGTTCGTGCAATAAAAGATGGACGACAATGTGACGTCATATGTTAATATATCATATTCACTGGAGAAGAAAGGTTAGTTGAAATCATTATATTTCTTTATAATTCAGTAAAAACTAAAGTAAACCTGTAAAAATCGTCACTAAGATATTTCGAATGGAATACTAGTAAACTTAGTGTACTATAAGTATACAGAGTGGGATAGTTTATTCTTAAAGACGCACAACAGTGTATACATTCTCAATATTTTCTACTGTAATTCATCAGTTAATTTCTTATCAAACTGAAATGTTAAATGGCGCTGCCCTATAAATGACGTCACGCTACTTGCCACTCCACTTCAGATGACGCGAGTAACTGTTCCACTCGAAATAATACAATTGAGTTCAATAAACGTTTCATACGCCATGACTACTGCAAGCGAAAGCGCTCGATGACATACACAAATAAACGAAAATACGTAAGGATATACGAAAGCACTCTTAAAAAACACTGGAGTGTATACTGAAACACAGACAGAAAAAATAACCAACCTTGTGTCGTCTTCGACAATATACCTCATTTGACGTGGTCATATATTTGTTTACATTTTCGCGTTTTCGGATGGTACATTTGACCCTAAACCTGATTGTAACTATACAGCTAATCTGAAAAGAATCTGTGCTACCTGTCTCACATGACAGAGGTGATCCGTTCAACAAAATGCAAGCTATCTATCTGACATGCTACATACTCTAAATTTCATATTCACAAGGCTTATATTCGTTCTTTAAAATTTCGTACAAATATGTTATTTTTTAATATCGTATTTTCTAGATCAGAATACACGATCGATTTTATATAACATACGTCATACGTGTTCCACAAAATGTCGATTTACTTGGTTAGTTTCCTGTATTAAAAGAGCTTATTACTATAATACTCATCTTTTCTGGGAAAACATGTTTATAATCCACACAGTCGACGGTTTATCCATAACTGGAACCTGAACGCATTTTATAGTAAAACAGTATCGATTGATAATATAGAAGAAAACGTGTTTATAGTACGCGATACAATTAATATGTGAATTATATTTATTTCAAGATATATTTGAGTCAGACGACAGTTTCGGACATTAAATATCACGGTTGTTCCTCTGAACGTTAATACTACTTTGCACATTGCAAATGCAGAGATTTATATTGCAGAATTGTACATTAATTTAATCAGCAAAAATGCTAATATTTCGAGAAACTTGTTTACGACTCACAAAACTATCAATGTTTGCTCAGTGCAGCATTGGTACCCTTTAAATGGTACGTACTAAGGTATATGCATTTATTTAGCGTATTTTCAAGAAGAAGAGAATGAGAATGGAATGGGGAGAATGGAAAAAAAGATTGTAGTGGGGAAATCAATATTAGTATTATTACTATGAGGTTATTACGAGGATACTTCAAAGTATGCACAAAAACAGCGGTGGTATCGATCGACGCGCAGTGGAGGTCGATGCGACCGCGTACTGTCTGAGTGCATACTTTGCAGTATCCTCGTACTAACATTATTACTATACATCGTTTCCTTCCAGAAATACATCATGGGAATGCCGAAATCCAAAACATTTAGAACAGAATCAGCGAACTTCTTCGTGCGGAGTCCGGTCAAACCCTGATGACAGCCATGTTTGTTTTTATTATTAGAGGACGCTTACGTGCGTAATCGTTCCATATTTGTAATTTGCATTTCCGAATATGGAAGGATGGAAATACCCCGCAAGATACTGCAAAATTACGGCACGCTGTATCTTATGGCGTTACGGTGACAGTTGTCTAATAAAATGTTATACTCACACTATTTTGTCCCAAGTCTCTTCTCCGTATTTCTCGGTGACGAGTGTCCGTATACACACATGTATAAGTCCATACTGTATAAAGGCAATTCAGAACAAACCTTACATTTAATAGAATGGCCGTCTAAATCTCCCCCGCTCGCGTCAACTGTTATATCATGGGTACGTGAATCAGAAGAACTGTGGATGCGGTGACGGAGAGAATAGAGAACAGTATTTGATTGGTAAAAAAAGTCACGTGACTTCATCGTTGTCAATGAGATCTCTGCGGCCATTTTGCGTCTGAGGCCTACTCACCTATTCACGTAGTTCCACGTGTGTCATTCAAACATTCTGGCCAATAGCGTCGCCGCATCTCACATTAAAGCGGGAGGGTCGTCACCTGCGCACGCGCGGAAATTAAGTCTTAAGTGACAATAAAAACGTAAAGGCTCATGGGTAGACGCTTGTTTATAAACAATGACACGCTATGGTCATCTGACGCGTGCGCAGATGATAACTCCCACTCTTTAAAACTCCGCGACAACAAAATGGGAAAGATGAATTATGACACAATCAAGAGTTGCGTTGATAGCATTCAAGTGGAATATGAGAATTTAGTTCACACGGAATTCACTTGCCGTATTTACATAACAACGGCTCATTTGATTCTCACTTTTCATTGAATTTTGTCGAAAAGAAGATAATTATATGAAGTAAATGGTCAGGTTCGTTTTCATCACGAATAAAAAAAATCTTATTCATTTGAATAAAAACTTCACTGTCCGAATTTGCAT